AAGGCTTTTCAGAAATCATATTTTTAAAACTTTTCATTAAACTAAAACATATTTTGAGTCTTATTTTATAGGAAAAGATTCGTAAGTTATAGTGAAGAAATTTGAACAAAATCTGGCTTTATTCAGCGATATAAGCTCACTCGCATATTGCTCGACATTTGCTGAATATCTTTACCGGAAACCGAAACAACAAGACACGAATCTCCCAAACTCATATTCTGGCAGGTTGGCGTCTTGAAACTCTACTGCCTTAAACAATCTTCTTTGTCCTCTTTACAACCCCTCGGTACGGACTGCACAGAAAACACAGGTTCTCTATTTTTAGGCTTCTTTACCGCGCTGTTGCATAACAAAGGTCGCGGCGCTCACCACATAGAAAACACCGCTCTTCCACTGTTGATCGCTCATTTACTCAGTTATTCCATTTCAACGGCTGTACGCGTCACATTTTGTATCGTGACAATTCCTCTACTGTTGCGTGTGGGCATTACCCAGCAACCGTTGTTTCTCGGGCTCAACAGTCCTTGCTTTGAGTAAATACGCCAAAATATTATTCTCCCACATTCTTCTCGGTAGTGCGAGCAGATGTTTCTCGGGAAGTTCTCCCACCTCCGTTGAGTTTCTGCAACCTAATCACATCCCCCAAACCACCGTAGACTTCCTGCTTGTCAGTGTCATGGCGTACCAAGTCCCTCGTTACGTAAGACGCTGCGTCGCTCACAGTGGCTTGAGTCTGCTTCACTTATGTCAGGTTTAAATATTTTGCTGAGCAGTTTGTTTTCAGACACTAGTAATTTATATCCTTTCATCGAGGTAACAGACCACTTATGGAATAATATTTCTTCCACTTTTTTGTTTCTTCATCATCGTGTTCTGTCTGTTCAGTCCTTTTGAAGAGCATGTTGGACTCTCCATCTTAACTGTGGCAGCCCTGTATTTCGTCTTGTTGAGTTGTGTCTTAAAATTTTCGTTGGAATTCGTCCACTTCCATGTAATATTACCACTGTTATCTGGAATTAGAATGTTATTACATAGATTAAAAATTTCAATTCTTCCCTAATTTTCGTATGTCTTGTTTGGTCTACATTTCTAAAAAATTTTGTTCCTGCAGTTTTAATTTTAGCTTTTTCTATATTTGTATCGCAGTCCAAATTTCAGATCCATGTGTAAGTGTAGGTACTGCCATAGCTTTATAAAATTGTATCTGTTTACCTCTTCTTGTCATTTGTCTTGTAGCGTAGTTTGTCGAGGAACTGTGCTAAAAGCCAGAATTCGCGGATTCGGTTTCTAATGGCGTCATTGGATTTTTCATTTGACCTAATCCTTTCAGCCGTACTATGGCCCGTGGTGTCGACTTAGCCTCCAACAGAAATGAGTACCAGGAATCTTCCTGGCGGTAAGGGGAGGATGGCTGGCGCCTAAGGCTGAAAACCTCACCGTCATCTGTGAGCCGATTGTCTAGAAGATGTGGGAGCCTCGATGTCTCACGACCCTATGGGCTTCACGACCTGTTACTGGCATAGCCTTTACATTTGGTTAAATCTGCTATTTTTATTTCTAAATACGAGAGTATTTGTTGACTACTGTAATTATATACAAACAAACAAAAACAAACTCCGTGGCTTTAGTCCACATGTGAACTATACCGATCGAACGACCGTCGCATGTCTGCGAAATTAGTGCCAACTTTAGCGGATAGAGGGTGTCGCGTGGTCAGCACAACGACTTCCTATGGCCGTTAATTTCGGTTTTCTAGCTCGCAGCCTCTACTTTTCCATTCAAGTAGCTCGCAAATTGTTCTCACGAGGCTGAGTGGACCCTGTTCTAGACCAGCTACATCTCAGAATATCTGATAGCTCCGGGAATCGAACCGGAGACCTCTGGATCTGTAGCCAGGAACTCTGAACGCTAGACCACAGAGGCGGTCTGTAATTATATATCCTATGTAAATAGAACTATTTATTTGTTCAATTCTTTGATCATTTCGCTAATTTTGTTCGCATTCTCTATTAGCTATGGGAATTTACATTGAGCCAAATCGGTAAGAAGAGTCCACAAGCTCAAAGCATTATCTTCTTGTCTTGCTTAAAATAAACTTTCCAAGAGAATTTGAATTAAACAGTAGAATAAAATCCTGCATTAACTAAAAACAAATTATTGATTTTAGATAAACATAAAGAGAAAAATGAATGCCTGTAGACATGCTTCATAACAATGCATTTGTTAGAAATCCCGTTCAAGTGAGTGAGTCACCTCCAGCTAGATCCACGTTTCAATTATCTCGGGCTGTCTGATAACGGAAGATCTCCTTCACGTGTTACTGTAGAGCGTGGTGACATAGACATGTGTCAACCTGCCACCATTGAAATTAAGTGTCATCTGTGTGAGGTTTTCAAAGGAGCAGCAGTCAGACCTGTAATTATATTTTACATAAAAATGTTTTCATAATCAATTGAAATGGGTCCCCGTTGACTCGTTTTATAAATGAATGCTCTTACGGTTTTCAGAGCATAAAATTTCAGTTCATTTTGTATTCGAGAAGCTCAGTTTCATACTTTTAAAATACTAATTTTTCTCCATTTGTTTTCAAGTTGGAGAGAAAACAGCACATTTTTTGATGATGTATTTTTACTTGGTAAAATGTGTTCACGGCCAGTCAGGGTAGCCGAGCGGTCTAAGGCATGCACTGTCTTCGCTCGCTCGGAAGCCGGGATCGTGGGTTCGAATCCCACTCAGGGCATGGATATTTGTGTGCGTTTTTCTGTGTTTGTCTACAGGTAGAGGCCTTGCGACGAGCTGATCACTCGCCCAAGGAGTCCTACCGTACGTATAAGATTTAGAAAAACCGAAGTGAAGGGAGAAGTTCATGGAGGTAGGCCTAGGCCCACTGGGGCTGTAGTGCCAAGGAAAAAAAAAATGTGTTCACACATGTCAATACCCGTTGCTTATTAAGTCGACACACGTGTATATGTTTGCACTTACACAAGTAGGCCTCTGCCTGGGTGTAGATTTAAATGTTTATTGATAAATGACATTACACGAAACAGGAGAAGAGAAGTAGATTGAGAGGAAAGAGAATAATGGCCGAGGGGAGAGTTAGAAAGAAGTCAAAAAATTAATCGGGAATGGCAGAAATAGGACCTATTAAAAATATAAAACAAACTCCGTGGCCTGTAATCCGCAAGCGAACTATACCGATCGAGCGACCGCCGCCTGTCGGCTAAGGGCGAAGTTAGTGCCAACTTTTGCTGATAGAGAGTGACACGTGGTCAGCGCAACGGATCCCCATGCTTTCTAGACCGGACTATTAAAAATATATCATAAAGAAAATCGCAGAAATGTTCTTGAAAATACGAAAAAGAAGGAAGATGTGTACATTAATATATATATAAAATAATCGTGTTTAGATCTCATCTAAGAGTAGTATTGTTATGATGATTAAACCTGAAGTTTAAGATGGGCATGACATGTATAAAAGATATGAGAAATAAATGCTTTCAGATCTTTTGTCGGGAAGTCTCACGGGAAGAGACCGACTGCTAGCTGAGACATTAAAGAGCAAAGTAATGTGAAGAAATAGGTAAGCAGCCTTGGTGAAGAGGCTAACTTCTTCGGATCAGAACCCGAAGACCGGCTTTTATGTTATGACTTTGAAACGCGCGGCCCGTAACAAGACGAAATTCCACGAACAAGTGACTGACAGTTAATAGTTCAGGCAAGATCCGTATCAAGGAAATACTTAATAGTGTAATGATGATTTAGAAGGAAAATTGTACAGTGTTGTGACACAGCAATGGATACATTTTGAAACGAGACGTTCAAGGATTTTATGGTCTCACAGCTGTGGTTATGAAGGGTTCTGTATTGTGTAATATAACGCCCTGTAGTCCGGTGAAAGTAAACCGACGTTTCGAAGGAACATGATGCCTCAATCTTCAGGGTTTAAGAGTAAGTCAAGTAAGAAACCAGCATGAAGAAGGCAGCAAGGTTGCGCCCATCTTCATGATGGTTTCTTGCTTTGAGAGGCCTGAAATTAAAATAAGTTGGTTTCGACGTAAAGACCGCCTCTTTGGTCGAGTGGTCAGAGTTCCAGCCTACAGATCCAGATGTCTGGGTTCGATTCTCGGGGCTACCATTTTTTTTTTCTGAGAAGTAGTGGGTCTGGAACGGGGTACGCTAAGCCTCGTGAGGACTATTGAGGAGCTATTTCAAGGAAATAGCGGTTCCGGTCTAGAAAACCGGATTAACGGCCGTGGGGTTTCGTTGCAGTGACCACGCGACACCTTCTATCCGCTAAAGTTGGAACTAACTTCGCCAACAAGCGGCGGTCGCTCGGTCGGTATAGTTCACTTGCGGACTAAAACCATTGGGTTTGTTTGTTTGTTTGTTTGTTTGGTTCCGAGGTAAGACATACTTCTCAGACCGAGGACTGAGTGATCTTAGTCAACGATTTTCTTTGAGTTCTCCAGTTTCTGTAAACATATCTTTATATACCTATTTAATTTCTGTTCGTATCGAATTCTCGTCTGCATTATAGCCTGAGGACTTCATACAGCTTCTTTATGAAACTAACCCACCAGACCTCATACTAAAGGAAAGATGTGCACTTAGGCCTATAGCCTGTGTTTTATGGATGTTTGCTTATGTAATATGATCCCGTAATTTTTTTTTTCCTTGGCACTACAGCCCCAGTGGGCCTAGGCCTTCCTCCATGAACTTCACCGTTCACTTCGGTTTTTCTAGATCTTACACATTCGGTAGGACTCCTTGGGCGGGTGATCAGCCCGTCGCAAGGCCTCTACGTGTACACAAACACAGAAAAACGCACACACACAAACTAAACATCCATGCCCGAGTGGGATTCGAACCCACGATCCCGGTTTCCAAGCGAGCGAAGACAGTACATGCCTTAGACCGCTCGGCTACCGTGACCGACAATTTTAACTTTTACTGCACAAAATGACACGTTGTCCATATTATAATGAAGGCTTCTCTTCCAGGCTTTTGAAACAAATGAATGGACGACGGAGGGTTATTTTGAACATTTGGAGCAGTTGCTGAAGCCATGAAAACGTATGGAATACAAACGGTAAGAGACATAAGTTCATTATAAAAGAATACTCAACATATTCCTGACCACAACTTGGGGGTTTACGACATGAACGCCATTTTAATTTTATGTACTTAGCGTATACCCTCATTCATTGTAGGGTTTATATTTTCCGGACTTGTGCAGCTGTTCGCCTGGTCAGTTGTCTGCTTCTTTCGCCCGCCCACTGTGCCCGCAACTCTTCCCCGAGCAGCATATCCGAGATCGCTAAAACAGTCAGACAGTAAAAGAAGCGACTGCTTAAAAATGCGCGGCGCGGTCGAGGACAGAAGTCCCTTCCGGAGAATTTAAAAATATTTTAATCTGCTCTCTCTTTCTTAGTTTCATCTATAACTGGTTACCACGGAATTCCAGGAATTTGTATTGTGTCGTACATAGTTTATAAGGGAAACCAGAGAGAACCTATTTGATTGTTAGAATATTAAAACGTATTTCTCAAAGCAGCTTTCATCCCTCGACTTATGATTTGGTTTGTGAATACACAGTTTTAATGTAAAGTGAATACATGTGGAAGGAACAGCATCATAACTCGAAACTCTTAGAAATTTCTGCAGCGTTTTACTTCAAGAGATAAGAACAAGCACCAGGTAGTAACTGGGGAGTGGGCAAAGGACTGTTAAATAGATGCATTGGAAATCCTAATTCAAAGCGATTACAACCTCACCATCAAAGACTCTTGTTTCAAGGTGAAGATTACCGCCTTCTTGGAAGCGACACCCGTTGTCTGATAATCTTGAAAATGGAGGCAGCAGGTTCCTCCGAAACGTTAGTAAATATTATGACGTGTATACCCATTGCTAGACAACGATTCGGTGAACACATTTCCGCAACATAAGCACTCAACAATAGGACATCCATTGCTAGGGAACGGACCAGTGAACATGCATTCTGGTACAGTAGAAGATTATGTTTTCCGTGGAATCAGTGCAAATTGATTATAAAAAGTGTTCGGCGGGACAGTAGAAGTAAAAGCAGAGAATAGTTGTCGAGAAAATTGGGTAGAGTTCTGGAGATGGCACTCCAAGGCGATTAAGAAGAAATGGCAAGAAAGGGAATGAAATTGAAGTGACAGGAAGACTGTGATAAATCCGTTGCCAGGATACGACTAGTGAAGACTGAGAAACCTAGTGCGTGTGTAACGGTGAACTGTAAAGTGTGTAGATCAGCGATAGCTCTGTACTGCCTGTAGTCTCGAGTTGCGTGAATGTATAAGATGTAATACATCCAATCATCCAATCCAAACCCCTTCTTCTAAGTCACCCCTACATGTGACCATATCTATCAGACTGCATTACGTCACATCCCGGAAGAGAGTTACTTTTACAGCCACCACAGGCTGGATCGCCAGATCTTACGTAATTCCAGGCTCTTTCCCATATAAAATTCTTTATTAGGAACCGTCGTAACACAACAGTCGTGTTGATAGAAGAGTGTGACACCCCTAGTGTGAACAGCCGGCCGTCGTCTTAGTCATCCGTCTGACAGGTTATCACTTTCCCATACATTTTATTTAAAGTACTGTACAAATATAACCTGTCACTTTGCAGAAACCTCAGATAAAATTAGTAACGTTGCAACACGTCAAACACCGACATCGGCAGTGAAGCTTCTCACAGTGGAAACAGAGCGGTCCGCAGATAAATGCTGTTTGAGAAACCTGAATGTGTTTGAGTACGTACTTTATTACAGCGTACAGCGATAGAGTAAGACATCCTTCTGCGCCGTCTGCTGCAGTTGATTCATGTCAGTGTAAGGCTTCACTTCCGGTTCCCGCAGATAGCGTGCAGCTACGTAGTTCTCAATGCATGTGAGAGTTTATAAGAAGTTCTGGGAAGAGCTAATCGCCTGTTTTCCTTTCACTGTAATTTTAGTATCCGATACAAATAGAAAGAAAATTTTAATAATAAAATAAATAAATAAAATCTTGTTATCTCTCGCTGAACTAGCCTAGTCTTATATGTTGAAATAGTTGGGTAAATTGACAGGAGTTGTCCAGTGATTGAGATTAGCTCTTTCTAAGGGGCTCAACTGAGTAGGTGGCTTTCTTCCTCATCTGAAGAGGGAAGCAGATCCAGTTTCCGAAACGTCGTGTTTTCTATTTCCTAGAATTACGGGCGATGGAAAAAAGCCCCCAAATCCTGTAATTCTGTATGTTATCCACCATCGTCAGAACCCTTCAGAATCTACTAATGCCTTATGACATTCTGTTTTTTTTTTTTTTTTCAAAAACTACCCTGATATCTGAGTTAGACCTGTTTTATTCTCAAGAGGCATATGGGGGAGCGGAAATATATAATGATGTATGTTTTCGTAAAAACGTTATACCTTTTGTTCTCTTTTCATTATCCTTTGTTTTCTCATCCAATTTGTTACACCTCCCGTCTTGAGGTAGCTGTCAGAAATATCCATACTAAAGCTAATTTTTGGTTCGCGTGTCGGCGAGCAAAACTTTGAGAACACGTGTCACAGGTTTTGCGTCACAGAGCGAAGTGAAGAGCTGGATGGAAGAAGGCTTCATCTGCACTAGTACGAGCGTAAACCTTGTTCCTAGAATGTTTGTGTGGTGAACAAAGAGACGACACGTATCGAGCAAAGTGAATTTCGTGTTGCTCTGTTGGTATCTTTTAAGAGGCAGCTAAGAAGCCTTTTACAGACAGATAATAAGGTTTAATAATTCTCTAAACGGCTGTGATAATTGCTTATTTACTATAAAAATATTAGTTCGGGCATTGTCTGTCTGTCGCGTGGTGTATTTGTTACACACGTCGTTTCGGGAGTTGGCTGTACTCCCGTCTCGAGATGATGCGTTGTTTTTGAGTGACGGATCTGCGAGATTTTCCTTTCATTCATTTATTTGCGACAGTTGCGGGTCAGACCTCGAACATTTTCTGGCATAGAATTGCGTGCTGCTCCTGGATCCAAGGCCCCGCAAATGATCAGTACGCAGGAGCGGCGCCACAACAAGCTAGGAGACAAAATGGCGTTCGAGGAGAGACGTCCCGTGTTGCAGGAGACAAATGATTCAGAGCACGGGGAGAATTTTGAAAGATTTTGGGCTCTTGCGTCGGTGAAAATAAAGATTATCGGCGCTATCTTCTAGGATGTGCGACCGTGTAGTCTTGCAGTATACTGACGTTTAGGAGGAACGTACTGCCTCCATCTTTAGGATCGAAAAAGCAAACATTCAAGAGCCAGAAACAGGGCGCACTGTCTTCTGGAATGTAAAGCCATTTGCCTGGTAGAAGTTTACCGATGCTTCGGAATAATGTACTGCTTCCATCTTCAAGGTGAGCAGCGAAATGTGCTTGCTGATGGTTGTTTATTTGCTGGCTGGACTTACTCGCTGACATTGAAGATGGAGGCAGTGTGTTCCACCGAATTGTAGGTAATTTTCTACCACATTACACGGCGTCACATCAAAGAATGTTGCTCTTGTATCTTACATTACAATGTTTAGCCAGCTGCACCCATAACTCCTCTTTCCTGCTGAAGGAATTCAGTGACTGATTTTCAGTCGGCAACTTTCTTTACCGCTCCCGGTTCCTGTTGTCTGATAGTCTCTTCTTCATTGGTCCTCCTTTATTTCTTGTCTCAGGTAGTCTGTATACATAATGGCTTGAGGAAGGCAACTTTTCTAGTTTATTTCAGCATGGCAGTTTTATTCCTTTCTTGTTTTAGTCCCAAAATTGTGGTCTGTGCAGGGTCGATCGTTAGTTCATTTTAAATGTTTCATTTCCTTTTGCGGTATTTTCATGCTTATTTTGCAGTACGTTTCAAGCAACTCTAATTCCTACCTTTACTCTTGCAAGGCTCAATGCCCCACAGGAGAGTTCGGCGGCCTGAAGTTTTAGGCCTACTTTCTATTCTTCTGTTGCTCACATTTTATTTGTTTTAATGCGCCGTTTATTAAGCATGTAATTTTGTTATTTTTGCGGCTGTACTTTGTATTTTCGTCAAATGGTGAGGATCCCAGGCCATGGAAGGTATTGAGATGTTATGTTTTTGTTGGGCATACTTTGTTTCTTTGAGTTATTGTGATTCTCTTCTAAAACTTCATTAAGTATTTGCATATTGATTTGTTTAGTTCCTAAGAGCTTCTTTCTTAGTCGTCTAGAAACTGGCGCGTATTCAAGTACTTGTTACTTGACATTTGTATCTCTCTCACTTCTTCTTTTTCTCATACTTGTGATATGTTTCTTTTAAGTACGGGTTGACTGGTGTTGCTGGCAAGGCCAACTTCGACGCTCACCATGCTTGGCATATGCATACTCTACTAATTCTAACGTAAGCTTGCCTCTTATATTATTAGTTTTGTGCATATTACTGAATCATTTTCTTCCCTTAATACACTGTACAAAACCCGTCTCTATGCATTATTAAATTATTTCTTATAATCTAGAAGTAACGTACCTCTGTTTCCAAATTGTGTTCCATTCCTCAACCAGAAGTATCAAGAAAAATACGGAATTCATCCATGAGCAACTTCTTCGGAATCCATTTCGAGGGTCCACTGCTTTCTACTCCACCTCACGTAATAATTCTTGCTCTTCTCTTCCAGTTCATGATTAGAAATCAATATGGCCGTTACCATTTGATGAGCGCAGTTGACACCACCATCAGAATCTGCAAGGACTGCGCATGTTAGCCCGTTTCGTACTCGAAGCATTTTTAAGGACTATAAGTAATTTTTTTTAATTGGGCAGTTTGCCAGCCTGTTGGAAAACCCGTTATCCCGGAATACTTATTCAGGCTTTCCTTCCCTCAGACAAGTTGCCTACCATAACTAACGAGTTCTGTCTACCCACCACGTAACCCTGGGAAAGGGGCCCATACTTGCCACGCAGGGGGCCAATGGGACATAGAGCTCACATAAGGCAGGGTCGCCACTCCCTTGAGGTGGACTGTCTCCTATGAGAGTTCAGGTTGACGCAGTATGTGTAATTAAATAATGTAAAACATGCCTTACTTGACTTTAAGTA